TGACACTGGGATATGGAGCATTACCCTGGAGGTGACACTGGGATATGGAGTGTTACCCTGGAGGTGACACTGGGACATGGAGAGTTATCCTGGAGGTGACACTGGGATTTTGAGCATTACCCTGGAGGTGACACTGGGATATGGAGTGTTATCCTGGAGGTGACACTGGGCCATGGAGTGTTATCCTGAGGGGTGACACTGGGATTTGGAGCTATCCTGAGTGGTGACACTGGGACATGGAGTGTTACCCTGGAGGTGACACTGGGACATGCTGCTGCTGGAGTGGTTCCTGCAGGGTGTGGCTGTCAGAGGTGACCCTGCTGCACTGCCTCAGAACACTGATCTGAGGGTGCTGCTGTGTCTGCAGGTGGTTTTATCTCCCTCACTGGAAAGTCCAGCTGCTATAAATATTACTAATCAAGATCTACCAGTAAAAACTGGTAACAAATCAGGAAACTGTTTTAGTTTGGTTTGTTTTCTGCATGTAGGGGTTCTCTAGTAAGCAAGTAGTATATGTGTGAAATTACACAGATACTCAGAGTGGTGTGCAAAGGCTACAAAATATTTTATTAGTCTTCCTTATCATTCTGTTATTTTTTTTTCTTTAGTCTTTGTTAAGCCAAAGCATGTTTCAAAGAAAGAAGGAAGAGGGAAGTATTAGAAAAAAAAAATCTGATTTGTGTTTTTCTGATGTGTCCAATGGCCAGAACTCTTCACTTTTTATTCCAGAGCATGATTTTACACATTTTATTAATTGAAAAAACACTAACAAAGAAAAAACCCCAAAGCGCAACACTTTATAAATGGAAATGTCATTAACAAATGGAATTACAAATAAGCAAGAGGCAAAGATGACCCTGCAGAATCATGCAGCTACATCACATAATGATGGCATTTTCCATCCTGAGCATTGTTGTAAACAGGATTGATCTTCACTGCAAGAACATGTGGGATGACCATTGTATTGGTCAGGAGCACAGCTCTGGCACCAGAAACAGCCAACTAAGTTTGTTAATCCTTCATTTGGAGCCATGATGAATTGTTTAATTCAAACTCAAATATGAGCCTTTTTCAGGATTCTCTTAAGCATCTAAGTTCTAACAAAAATGGTAATTAATTTTAATTTTAATTAGTTTTTTAATGAGAGACTTGGAAAGAATTCTTGAATGTTTGCATTTTTAATAGTGAATATGATTTTAGAATACACATGATCAGACTTTCTAGGAAAAAGAAGGCAGAAAGATATTTAAAATGGCCAGGTTTCATTGTCACCTTTTTCTAATTGAATGTTTCCAGTGATGTTGATTAGCTGTTTGATCTCAAGCAGTAATTAATCCATTAATCCAGGAACAAAAACCTGGTTGATAAAACACAAAGATGTTTTCCATCTTTAAATATGTTGCTGAATTTAATTGAAACAGTGAGATAAGTTACACATTTCTAGCTGAATTCTGGTACCTGGTAGTCCGTTCTGACCTGCTTCATTCAGCATTTGCAGCCTTATGCATTGGAGCTTGAGGTTATGATACTTAGCTGTGTTTAAATATTTCAAATGTCAGTTTTGGAAAGAAATTTCTTTTTGTACCCATGTGGATGTCAGCCCTTCCTGTTCTTCATTGTCATGAATTGTTAACTGAGATTCGTGTATGGATGGGGAGAGGAGGTGTTACAGTCCCACAGTTACTTTGTTTAGAAGTAGGAGGTAAATGGGACTTATCTCCAATGACCCCTCTGAACTTCACTGAAAATCCCCTTAAAGCCAGCTTGGGTATAGTTTTGGGTTAGTGAGTTCCTTTTTAGCTAACTGGGTTGGAAAAGTTTGTAGTTGGAGTGTAGGGACAGAAGCTCAGAGAGCAGCTCCATCTCCCTTTTTAAAGAATCCCCATCAAGCTGGAGGGGTGTTTTGTGTTCCTTGCCTGCACACTGTAATATTGGAGAATTTCTGCACACAAATTTCAAGTTCATCACATTCTGAATTTTTGCACATTTTCCAAAGTCACCCAGCCACCACTAACATTCCAAGCAGTAAAATGTCTCATATCATCATACTGTGATTAAAGTTTGTGCAGATGGTAGTAACTGTCTTTATGTTTGTATGTAGCCTTGTGTGTACAGGAATTTATCAGTGGTAGAAGCTGACTTAATGACATGTTAGAAACTATATAAATTAAAAATAACTGTGTATCAAATTTGAGTGGGAATGAAAGAACTATTTAAATAACGACAGATATAAATGTGGCTTTGTATGAGTTACTTTTTTATTATGACTTCAATACTTGAAAGAAGTACTTCAGACTTCCTGGAGTTAGAAATCTAACAGGGTAGTGCTTAGAGTCAGGGTTTGAATTACAAATGATTGTTTTGTCTGTCTGCTGCCAAAAATTGCACTTTCTTGATATGTTTTCTAAAGCTCACATTAATATGCTTTTCAACTGTCTGTTTGAGCAGTTGTGCTATGTTAATGTGTAGGCATGTTCTAATTTTGCATGTAGCTCAGGGAGAATGTTTCATTGTTCAGATGTTGTGCTTGCACTTCAGGGGTTTTGAACCTTCACTTTGTGGTTATTTCCCATCTTTTCTCTGTCCTCATTCATATTTTGGGGTGCAAAGCAGTAAGCTGACCATACTGGTGTGTGGTGCAGACACATTGCTGAGCTGGAGACAGGAACAGGTATCAGAGCTCTGGGCCATGTGGAGATCTCATCTGCAGGGGAGCTGCTTTGCCTTGCTGCTTTCCAATGACTTCAGTCACTTTTACACTGAGAAAGAAGTTTAAACACATCCCCTCATCCAAAACTAGGTTTAGTATTTCTCATGTTGCTTCTGTAAGGAGAAAAACACATAACTCTTTGAAGACTTTGGATGGCACTTTTACTTTAGGATACCTTAGGGAGTTCCCAAACTGGTGAATTTTAGGCAAAAGGGTTTGTTGTGGGGTGTCAGTGTAGTTCTGTGGTGTTGGAGGACTTCTGAAAGCTTGGCCATAGGGAGTTCCATGGGGCCTTTTCAGCTGCTAGAAACGAAATAAGTACTCAAAACCCCTTAATATTTGATGTTGACTTGAAAATAGCTCCTCTAATCAGATTTCCACAGTACTGATGATTTAGTTTATAATAACATTGAAGATTTCAGCTGATTCAGCATTTAGCTGCTTCCACTGATCGTTATAAGAGATGACAAAAATGGGCAATGTGAGTTCATTTCCCAAGATTTTATGTTTGCACATTGAAGGAGATGCCAGGTTCTTTTGGTGCAGGAGTGAGGTTGATGTAGTAACAGGTCATTCTGTAGTCTGTAAAACGTTCTATTTCTGTTTTTTTGTCAGTAGCCCCCTCCCCACAGTGTTAGGCTGATGCTGAGAATGTGGTGATGGTTCTGATGAGCAGCCCACAGCCCCAAGCTCTGTGTTCACTGTTAAAGTGTTTAAGTTCTCCTAAGATGTGGTGGTGGTGGTGTTGGTGGTGGTGTGTGCCTTTGCTGTTTTAAAGGAAATACTTCTCCCTACAGAAGTTACAGGAGAAGAAACTTTACTTTTTGGAATGGCTTGGAAAATAGTTTTTTGGACCTGACAGCTAAAAGAAGAGTATTTACTTCCTACAGTCTGCAGGATAATAAATAAGTTTCTCCCCCTCTTCCTTTCCTACAGAAAAACACTTTGAGGATATTTGTTTCTAGATATAACACTTGTCCCCAGCACTTTGTGGGTCCCACCTTAACACTTTTAAATAAGTTGTGATGGAAAGTCACATTTTGGATGTAAATAATTTAACATCTCTGTGTGACTCTGCTTCATTAATGTAGAGAGTGTAAGGAAAAAATTAGGGGCAAATCAACGAAGGCTTTTCTTTTGAACTCATTTTTGTAGAAATCAGTATATGAATTTTTGCAAAACTGCCCAGGAAAACTGTTTAAGATGTTGTCTGTAAACATTTCAGCACTTCACCAGAATAGAAAAGCAAATAAAAGCTTGATTCTTTTGAAGTAGTCATGCTCTGAGATGCAATAGACCACATCTCCAGATACTGTTGGGGAGTGTGTATGGGCTTTTGATTCACTGAACAACACTTCAGAAAAACTTTCTGATTTCACTAGTGCCTCTTGATTTTCATGCTGAAGGTTCTTCCTGTAGCTGCTCAGAAAAGCCAACTCATTTTGAGTGCCCAGTTTGTTTCCTTAGGTGGCTTTTTCAGAGCTGATGAGGTCCTGAGGCTCTCGGGGAGAGAGTGAGGAAAGCTGAATGAAGCAGCTCTTGGCACACAGTTCATGTTGTCCAGATCCTGTTTGTGCCTTCAAGGAAGAGAGAATCACATCTGAAATTCTGCCTGTTAAATTCTGCTTCCCTACAGCTACCCAGTGGGGTTAAGTGTATTGATCTGAGTGACTGAGCAGGGAATGACTTCCTCATTTCCCTCTCTGTTTTATTTTTCATTTGGGGTGTAACATGGCACAGTGCAGTCTGTTGCTGATGCACATGAGAGAGATTATGATTTTATAGCCACTTTCATTACTAAATTGGTTATGGGAAATTAATTTAGGACTTAGACAATTGTGTTGCTGTTGATGGTGAAGCCTAGGTTTGATTATTTTTCTTCCCCTCTTAAAGACAAACTAACAGGCATCTTGTCTAATGGCAGGATTTTCTTCTATTTGTAGTATCTCATAAAACAAATTTCTTAGTAAAGAGCAGGTAGGATTTTTACAGGATCATTTTGACTTCTGTCACATGGAATATTTGTGGTTGGGGCAGATACACCTCACTGTGTTCTGTACACACCATACTGAGCATTTAGATACAGTATTTCTAAAATTAAGTTATTCTAGACAAAATACAATAATGCAGCTGGGTATTTGACTTTTATTCTAAACCCCTCTTGCTAGCTGCCTGGTCCTTCAGCTGTACATTAATTCCATATGTACCCAACTTGAATTAAAAAACCCAAACAGAATAAGATGTTCTTTGATGTTTGCAAAGCTGTGTTCTTGACCGCTCTGTTTTGCAGGCATGGTGCTGGTGCGCAGCGAGAACGGGCAGCTGCTGATGATCCCCCAGCAGGCCCTGGCTCAGATGCAGGCCCAGGCACACGCCCAGTCCCAGCCTCAGAACACTCTGACTCCTCGTCCTGCTACACCCACCAGTGCACCCCCAGTGCAGATATCCACAGTGCAGGTCAGTCCAGCTGCTGGAAACTGTTCTGTGCAGAGCACGGGAGGAAGTCAGGTGTGCTACTAGTGAAGAAACCATAGATCTAACTGGGATGTACAGACTGTTAATAGATTCACAGAATCTCAGAATTGTTTGTGTTGGAAAGCTGTTGGAAGGGGCCTTAAAGCTCATCCAGTTCCTGACATGGGCAGGGCCACCTTCCCCTAGACCAGGTTGCTTCAAGCCCCATCCCAAGCTGGCAGAGTCCCCACCTCTCTGTGCCTCATCACCCTCAGAGCCAGGAATTTCTTCCAAATAGCCAATCTAAATCCTGCTTTCCACAAGGCATAGGCATTGCATTGTGTTCCTAATTCTGTTACAGCTTGGCTGTTACTCATCAAAAATATTTTTACATATCTGAATCTCATTAAGTTGAAAACTTTGATATAAAGGAGACCATATATGGTTAATGTGTACAACTGTTCTCCCCAGAATAAACACAAGACTAAAAGAAAAAAATGGATATGGATATGCATACACCAAGATTTTGACAGTTGCATTAACTTCAAGACTGAAAATCCTTCTTGGAGTCCCATAGTGCTTCAGATGCATTCTTTGCTATTTGTAATAATGCAGAATCAGAACACCAGCTAGAGCAGGTGGTATTGAACTCTAGGCACTGATGTGTTCATGACTTTTTTTTTCCCCTCTTCCCCAGGCTCCAGGAACACCCATTATTGCACGACAGGTGACACCAACTACTATCATCAAGCAAGTGTCTCAGGCTCAAACCACAGTGCAACCCACGACCACGCTGCAGCGGCCCCCGGTTGTGCAGGTGGGTGTGTGGGGAAGGGATGTGTGCCTGAGACTGCCAGGCTCACAGGACATGCAATTGCTCAGTGCAGGGAAGAAATGCCTTCTGGATTAGCCTTTCTAAAGGCTAGTTACATGTACATTTTGGATGTACAGATATAATTTTTTATATGTATATTGGTATTATTTCATATTACACCTGTACGTATCTCCATTTCAAGGTATTGTGTTTGTAGTTTGTACAGTCACAGAGCTGACTGAAATGAAATACCTTTATGCTTTCTGCTTAAAGGAGGTGACAGCAATTCCCCTTGGGTTTTGGGCTGTGGTGTTATTCCTGTGGTGGATCTGCAGCCCTCTGAATTCTGCAGCAAAATTTACAATTGCAAAGATGACTGCACTGGCAGCCTTCTCTTCCTGAAGCCTTCTCCCTTTCCCATGAGTCTGCTTTGGTCTGTGTCCTTCTGGAGACTGATAACTCACAGAGAGACTGATGTCAGTCTGGGCTGGCCTCAGTTCATTTTGGGCTTGCTTGGGCATTTTCTTTGAGATGTCAAGAGTTTAAAAACCAGTGCAAGAGTGTGAAATTCTCCACATGACTTCCAGGCAGCTGTGATACAATATGATTGCTGTCACCTAATCTGTCTCATTGTGCTTTCTTCATCCTTTGAGTAGACAGGATTAGAGAGTTTTAATTTAAAACATGCAGGTTTTGCTATGCATCCAGTTAACCTTTTTCCCCTCAGAGAGCCTTTCCCTATGCCAGTGATCTTTCTAGATCTAAGAGTTAATTTACCTAACTGAGTCTCCTTAATTTGCTCTGTTGTTATACAGGACAAAAAAAAAAAAAAAACCACCATCATTCCATCTGCATATTTTGTGCTGTAATGAGCATACCATGGACTTAATTTATCCTGATTTCAAAAAAAAAAAAAAGAGACGAATGAAATCCTTATCTCTCTTAGTTTCTTCCAAAATACCAATAAAGTTAGCTTTAGCAGCAGGAGAGCCTCTTCTTTTTGGTGCATCTTTATATAAAGACCAAGTTTACAAATGATTTGTGAACATTCTGAGTGTCAGTTGTAGCTTGGTAGGAATTTGTCTCTCAGTCTGGGTTGTTGTTAATAATTAGATTGTTGGAAGCCCATGAATGAGCTGTGTATGTGAGAGGATCTTGCTTGTAATTGTGATTCGTTGGAGCTGTTATTTCTACTTCAAATTACCAATTTGTCTACAAAACTAGGAAAATGTTTTGTCCTGTTGTTTATCACAAAGACCTTGATAAGACCAAAGCTTTTGTGTCAGTTGTGCCTTTGTAGAAATTCCTCTCTTTGGAAGTGGCATTTAATGAAACAGTCAAAAGGATAGATTGAATTCACAGGAATTCAGCACTTGTTTTAGCTGAGGCTTGGAACCCCACTGGCTGAGATTATGTTTATGGTGTTTTATTCGGTGACCAAAAATCGCGCAATTTTTAATCAACTTTCGGCATTCCCGTTCCGAATGTTTTTAGTGCCATCTGGTGGCCGTTTCCTTCCACTGCACCAGAGCATGAGCAACTTATTTATAGCAGCTGTGAAAGGTGTTCCACTGCCCTGTGCCTCATCTTCTGCTGGATGGCTCAGGAAAACAGGCTCTTGGTATGTTCCACATAAAATAATCTTGTGTTTTTATTCTCTGCAGCCTCAGATCGTTCTGGGTGGTACTGCACAAACAACCACGTTGGGGACAGCAACAGCTGTACAAACTGGAACTCCTCAGAGAACAGTGCAAGGGACAACAGCCACCTCCACTGCTGCCACAGTAAGATTCTGAGAAATGTAACATCTATTTTTGTCCTCTCACATATGCATGGTGTGCATATATACACATACTTGTAAACACAGATGGGAGTGGAGATTAGTAAAGATGCAGGAATCCTGTGAGCTGTTGACCTTGAAAAGGTAAACTTTAATAGAACCATATAATTTACAAGGTGTGGGTACAGGTCACTTGAATTTTGATAGGTGATAAAGTGTTTTTGTTTCTCTAGGAGTATTAAAGCACTCATTTAAAAAATATGTTAGATGTATTTAAAGAACAGTGAATTGTTCAGCACTGTAGAGGAGAATCACTATAATAAAGGATAAGCAGTTGGCACTGATTGATTCAAACTGCATGTTTCCAGGATTGTAAAATCCAGGGAGAATCCATGTACTGTGCACTGTGAAACAACAGCTTTACTCTTTTTTGTCCTGCTAAAACATATATTTTCCTTTGTACCACGTGCCATTCTTAAAATACTTGGTGTTTCCTCATTTCATGAAGAATCACAATTTCTTAAATTTTGGTAACAAAAATGTACAATATATATGAGTATATGAAGAAAAATAGTAATCTCAGTCTGTTTATGTTTTAGTGTGAGGGACATGTATGTATAAATATTACTGAAGAGTCACAATTCCTTAAATTTTGGTAACAAAAAATGTACAATATATTTGAGTATATGAAGAAAAACTATGATCTCAGTCTTTTAATGTTTTAATGTGAGGGAAATGTATGTATAAATATTACTCTGTACTGATGAGCTAAAGGACTTTATTTCAAGGAGTATATGGTCAGATCATTAAGAGGAGTTTGTCTTCCTTTCTCTGATTGTTTTCCTTTTACCCTTCCTTCTCAGGAAACTATGGAAAATGTGAAGAAATGCAAAAACTTTCTGTCCACATTAATAAAACTGGCATCATCTGGAAAACAGTCCACAGAGACTGCGGCTAATGTGAAGGAATTAGTGCAGAGTCTGCTGGTAAGAAAAGTTCATCAGAAGTTGTTAAATACAGCATCTGGGCAAATTCAGACTCAAAACTGGTTTTTTGTGGTTTTTTTTTTTTTTTAATTCAGTGGCTGGAGTTTATAACATTTGAGCTAAATTAAATCCTTGCCTGATGCTAATATAAAAGCTTGACATTTTTAATATTTATGGAGTGAATGCTAGTATTGCTTAGCCTACTTGTTAGCAACCTTTATGGTTTTGTGTATTCCATCATGGAGTAACCAGAGATCTTCAGATCTTATTGCTTGAAATTTGTAGTAAAGTTGGTTACTACCATAAAGCTGCTGGTAACTAAAAATAGTGAGAGATTATAAAAACTCCTAATTTCAGTGTGTTCCCAAGTCTTAATTTTTTTTTTTTTTAGTGTTGGATAGTTATAAAAATTAATTTCTACAAGTTTGTTCATTGGAGTTTTCTGTTTTGAAGGATGGAAAAATTGAACCAGAAGATTTTACCAGTAGGCTCTACAGAGAACTTAATTCTTCACCTCAACCTTACCTTGTGCCTTTCCTGAAGGTAACATATCTTCACTACTCTTCCTTTATCTCTGTGCTTGTATATCAGCTGCAATGAATACAAGCACATCCTTTGCCATTATAGGTGGAATTCCAAAATTAAGTTAAAGGAAGTTTTAAATGGTGCCTGGTTAGGCTTTTGCTCCCTTAAAAATACTTTTTGTGTCTTAGTTCCTAGAGTTTGTTACTGTGATTCATTGGCACAGTCAGTAATGTAACTTCTACCATGGTGACACATAGTAGCTCTTTTGAGAAATCTGGAAAGTTTTCTTTCTATAGCTTAAGCCACAAACCTATGAATTGATTTGTTGCTCTCTTTTTAGTCTTAGAAAGCAAAGGGATTCAGTGATATAGAAAATTGTACCTTCTGGGGAAGTTTTGCCTGTGCTGTAAACTGGTTTGGAGAAGCAGGAAATTTGTCATCTTCCAATGATAAATCACATTTGACATAAATTTTATAGTAGTTCAGCAAATCTCAAAATAGTATTTATTGCAAAACGTTTACCATCAGTGAAATCAGTGAAAATACAACAGCACTGAATTGTAAGAATGTAGCTGCTTGACTAATGTATGATTATGGGATGGAGTTGTAGGTGTGTGTTGACATTTCTGGGTTCTTAAATGCTTGTTCAACCTTGAGCTGTTCCTGAGGACAAAAACTGTTGCCATAAGAAAATGACGAATTTAAGAGGCCACCAAAACACTCTGGTCTCTGTTGAGCTATTCTGAAATCTTCCCTGGTGTTCAGTGTGACTCTAAGCTGTAGGACAACAGTCAAGGAAGGCAGCATGGGCTTGGGTTGTTAAATACATACCAGGGGTTCCAGGTAGGCTGCATAGCCAAGATGCCCACGATATCCAAAGGGTATTGTCCCTCTGTCCTGCTTATTCAACAGGAGCAGCTTGGTGTTTCTGTGTGTGCACAGACCGATCCTATGGACTGAAACAAAACACAATGCCTCTTGACAATTCATATTAACTCAACCAAACTCTTTCCTTTCCCCTTTTCAGAGGAGTTTACCTGCCTTGAGACAGTTAACACCAGACTCTGCAGCTTTCATCCAGCAGAGCCAGCAGCAGCAGCCCACGACGCAGGCGACGATAGCCACGATCCCGTCGGTGACGTCGGTGCTGCTGAGCTCCTCGGTGCAGCGCACGGCGGGCAAGGCCACTGCCACTGTCACCAGTACCCTCCAGCAACCCGTCATCAGCCTCACTCAGCCCACACAAGTTGGTGTCAGTAAACAAGGGCAGTCCACGCCACTGGTATGTGAGCTGGAGTGCAGCGTTGGTTGTTGCACAGGGGGTTTTTTGATAGTTCTTCTTAAGGTGGTGGTTTGGCTCAGTCAAAGATTTGATAAAAAAAGTGTAATTCAAGTTGCATCTTGGGTAAAGTGCTCTTAGTGTTTACAGTTCTTTTTTTTTCCTTATTATTTGCAGGTAATTCAACAGTCTCAAAAAGCAGGGGCATTGATAAGGCCTCCACAAGTAACGTTGACACAGACACCCATGGTGGCATTGCGGCAACCACACAGTCGTATCATGCTCACCACTCCTCAAATCCAGCTGAATCAACTGCAGACAGGTAAGAGGTCAAGATACTTCTGATGTGCCATATTTGGTAGCAATCCCTAAACCACACCTCAGGTAATGCTTGCCCAGAGAAGTTGTTGATACCCCATTGCTGGAAGTGTTCAAGGCCAGGCTGAATGGGGCTTGGAGCAACCTGGGCTAGTGAAAAGTGTCAGAGGGGTTGGAACAAGATGATCTTCAAGGTCCTTTTCTGCCCAAACCATTCTGTGGTTCTGTGAATGTCCGTTCATAAGTGCCCTTTTTGTACTGCTGCTGAAATGTTTCACTGTGTAGTGCCATCGTGACTGAGGGTACAGATCTGTCAGGGCAGCATTGACACAGAAATGGTTTGGCTGCTGGAATTGTGTGGGAAGGGTCATGTTTTAACCTGGGTGAAATGCTGACAGAAACTATAGAGGTCAACTCTTTGTACCAGATCCATTGCCATAACTACTTGTGACTGGCTTGCACGTGTGAACTGTTACTGATGGATACAAATCCTGTCTGTCTTCTTGCAGTCCCTGTGGTAAAGCCAGCAGTATTACCTGGAAACAAAGCTATTGCCACTGTTTCGACACAAGTAGCTGCTGCTCAGAAGAATAAACTGAAAGAACCTGGGGGAGGCTCTTTTAGGTGAGGAACTGTATGTTTGTGCTTGGGCAGCTGAACTCAGACCTTCCTGGTGCTGAATCCATCTGGGGAAACTCACAATAAGCCTGAGGTGGATTTTCTGGGGGCAGGTTTGCTTATTCATTAAAGACTTCAACAAACAGCACTGGACATACTTGTGCCAGACTGGTTTTGGCATTTAGCTGGCACTAAACCTCATAAACAATTCCTGCCCAGACAAGCAAGTGGAATTCATTCCTTCACTTCTCCCAGCTCTGGCTGAGTTACTTGAGGTACAGCCTGTCTTGGTGGTGAGGGCAGATTATTATTGTTTTGTAGCAGTGATTTGTCTGGTCTCTTGTTTCTCAAGCTGGTGGAACATTACATAAGAAAGGAAAAAACAGGAAGTACAAAATTAGTGCTCTTTGAAGTCAAAGCAATAATTTCTCATTTACAAACAAATGAGTTGTATTTTATTATATCACAAAAGCAAATAAAATGTAAAACTAATTATTCAGGTTTATGGTGGAATTCATTATGTGCAGCTGTGGTATCATAGCAGTGTGTGCAGATAGGCACTAAATGTTATGATTATAATAAATTTTCCTTCCTTTAAGGGATGATGATGACATTAATGATGTTGCATCCATGGCTGGAGTCAACCTGTCAGAAGAAAGTGCTCGGATATTGGCAACAAACTCTGAGCTCGTGGGCACATTAACACGGTCCTGTAAAGATGAAACCTTCCTTTTCCCAGCACCTTTACAAAGAAGGATATTAGAAATAGGTATGTTCTTTTATCTTGAACATTAATAAAAACAAATTTCACTACTCTTAGGTTTAATTGAAGACTTTTTCCAAAGAAATTGGTTTGAATAATTAAAAGTTGCTGGAGTCGTTACCTTCTGGTATTTTCTGGTATATTCAGATGCTTGTGGGAAATCATTTGTCTTATGAAAAATCAATAGTGTCAAGGAATAGCAAACATAGATTTGCCTTCTAAAGTGATGACAATTCAACATCAAAGCTACTCAATCTGGCTGAAAGTCTGAGTGTATAAACTAGGAAGGTGTATCAAGCACGACACAAACAATGAAATAAGTCCAGAAGCACTTTTATCAGCTTTACTTAGTAATTTGGAATTGATGGTGGAACAAAAAGCAGTCTTGAATTCTTTGTTACACTGTAGTACACAGCATTTATGAATAGATTGTCAATTTTGTTAAACTAATATGAATTTTAATATGTGTGTAATTTCCTGTTTAATCCTTGGCTGAGAAAAACCTGCAAATCATATTTAGAAAAGGGGATTACAATTTCTATGACTGAGATTTTACTCATATTTAGTTGCATTGTAAAATTATTTTTTGCAACCCACTTGTGGTTTTTTTGTAGGTAAAAAACATGGAATAACAGAAATCCATCCTGATGTAGTTAGCTACGTATCACATGCTACACAACAAAGACTACAAAACCTCGTGGAAAAACTATCAGAGACTGCTCAACAAAGGAATATTTCCTACAAGGTAAGTGTATTTAATTGCTCAAATCAAATGGCAAAATTGCACAAATTCAGCAGGCTGTGGTATTGACTGTAATGCAGGAGTTCAGGTGCTCTTTTTTCTGTGAAATCAGGTTGTTTATTCTCTTTGACTGATTCACCTTCCATTAAGATATTAATACACATGGATGACTGGAGCTTTTCAGCTTGCATATACAAAATGGTTTTAAAACAAATGCAGAGAAGCTGTGCCCTCCCCTTTATTTATTATGTCAAATGTTTAGTGTGTGAGTGATTGGAGAGTCAGACAGATAAAAGCACTGCTTTGAATTCCCAGGAGACTGCTATCTGACAGATGTGTGTTCCTAATAGATGCAAATGCCTGAGCAGTGTTTAAAAAACCACACAGCTCTGTGAAATATGTTTGAGAGGTTAAAGCTGTGATGATATTAGTTTAGAAGTCAAAATCTGATGATTCATGGAATAGAACAAAATGCTTTTACGAGTTCTAGCTGGTTTGACTGGTGTAAATATACTGCTGCTATTTGTCTGAAAAGGACAAAGTGAACATTGGAGCTTTGAATGTGTATGTTCTTCCCCAGTACAGTACAAGTTAACAGCTTTGTTTTTAAGGGAGTAATGAGAAATGTATTTGCTGTGTTTTCAGGATGATGAAAGATATGAACAAGCAAGTGACGTTCGGGCACAGCTCAAGTTCTTTGAACAACTTGATCAAATAGAAAAGCAGCGTAAAGATGAACAAGAAAGGGAAATTTTAATGCGCGCAGCAAAGGCAAGTGCTCGGCTTTCACACGTGTCTGCAAGGTGTCACTGTTGACATCAAAACTGCAGAGTTGCTTTTCATTCTAATACACTTGCAATGAAGGGGAAGGCTAATCTTCAAAGATGGAACTTGATGAATGTGTTCTTAACTAGAGCTTAGTTTTGCTTTCCATTGTAAAGCATGGGAAACAGCTTCTGTGCCACTCTCATTGCATAGTCCCAAACTAAAAGGAGTCTTGAAATTTAGTTTTTGCATTTTGCATTGACGAAGAAAGATGAATTTTATAGCTTGGTGGGATTCTTAAATGTAATAGAGAGAGACTAGAAATAGAACTCAGAAAGATTGTTACAACTTGGAGAAATACAATAAATAGGAAGCAGTTGATGTAAACATGAATGTGAATATTAAACTGTGGTTTTACTCAGTGAATACAGAATGAATGTGATTAGATAAGAGTACCCTAGAAATAATTCACAAAACAACCTGTGTTTTCTGTTAGTTTTGTGATCCAGCATGAGTTGACAATGTCAAAATCCAAATTTATTTTGTTGTTGGCCTAAAGAATGTAAGGGATTAGCAACACTCAGGATTTGATAGGACGAGAGGAAATGGCCTCAAGTTGCATCAGGGGTGGTTTAGATTGAATATTGAGAGCAATTTGATCTCTGAAAGTGTTGTCAAGCCCTGGAACAGGCTGCCCAGGGCAGTGGTTGAGTCACCATCCTTGGAAGTATTGTGTAGATGTGGCACTTGGGGGCATGGTTTAGAGGTGGGCTTGGCAGTGCTGGGGAAACAGCTGGACTTGATGTTCTTAATGGTCTTTTCTAATCTAAATTATTTCATTATTCTGAAAGTATGACACACACAAGGAGTGCAGGTGCCCAGTGAAATGGGCATTGCTGATGTAAATGGTCTTGGGTCACTCAGGTGCACTTTGTTCAGCCTGCAGCCTGACCTGTGTGTGTAGGTGTAGCAGAAAATCAGCTCTGAGTAAGTGCTTGGTTACCCAGCAAGGGGAGGAATTGTTCCAAAAAGTGCAGGTCTGAGTCCTTTGTTCATATGCAAAGTGTATAATTCAGTTCACAGATCTGTGTAATTTGTGTCTTGTAATTTGTGTCTTGTAATGATTGCATTTAAGACATAATTGTCTGGCTACTCCTTGGCTATCTTTAACAAAGCAGAAAAATGGGATGCCTTTTTCAAAAATAGAATTGTTAAGAAAAGCAAAACTTTTACTTTCTAGAAGTTGTTTACCACAGTTACCCTCTGTGGGAGTGATAGGTGTTCCCCACTTCCTGCTGAAATTTAAGAAAAGCTTTCATATATAATCTTTAACTGCTTTTGTAACTGAGTTATTTTTTCTTTGTTTTCCTCCAACCACCTCCTGCTCCCCTTTATCAACACAGTCTCGATCTCGACAAGAAGATCCAGAACAGCTTAGGTTGAAACAGAAGGCCAAGGAGGTGAGTGCTGAACTTAACATAAACTTTTCTTTTGGAAGTTGAAAGAGAAATAATGACCCATCGTTGTTGTGGCACACACAGATGCAGCAGCAAGAGCTAGCACAGATGAGACAGAGGGATGCCAACCTGACTGCGTTAGCTGCCATCGGGCCCAGGAAGAAAAGGAAAGTGGATTCCCCAGGATCTGGATCAGGGACAGAGGTACAGTATCATTGTCACCTTTGGTTTTACTGCCTCAGCCTCTGTGCAAACCCTTCTGTTCAGAGCTTTTCCCCAGTTTGTGGAAGCTCCCTGAGCAGCAGAAGTGTTTCGTGTTCAGATTTGCTCACTCCAAGGCCAGGATCAATTTTTAGCACCTGTATTGGCATAGGGGATAGAATCTGAGTGGTCATTCCCTGATTCATGGAACTGGAGGCATCTTAGAAAAACCATCTCTGATCTAACAAGTCTCAGCTTTTTGGCCCTCCCTAGTTTTGAAAGAAGATTTTTGTGGTTATAACCAATCTAACTTGAAGTGCAGAGTAATGCTGAGGTAGGTGGGGTGAATTAAGGCACTGCTAAATTTGACAGCAGGAGCTTCAAGTTACAGCAGCTTACCTAATTTTTCTCTTCAGCAATTGATTTGCCTTAGTTTTAGTGTCTCCACAACAGATCAGTTTGACCAGTTCCATCTGATCAGGATGTTCTTGCACATCTGTATATTCTTTCTGTTGAATCTGCCTTTTAAAAAATTCTGTGCAGACTGGGTATTGGAATGCTCAGTGTCTGATTCATTTAATTTACATTCTGGTACATGATTATCTGCTGTATTTCTAAACAAGTTAATAAACAAGAAATGCTATAAAATTGCTTTCTGCATGAGACATTCAATATGGGATTTCTCTAATGTTTAAAAAGAACAAAACATTCTTGGAAATTGTCATTTGTTGGACCAAAAGCTCTCTTCATAATTTGAGGATTTTCCCCCATGGGTTTTGTGTCTGATAGCAAGTGACAGAATAGTAATAGTTTAATAGTCCTGTTTATTACTCCTTGAGCATTCTGAACTTTCATTGCTAAAGCATTTATACTGCAGAAAAGCCTCAAAAGAGTTCACCTTGTTTTATACTGAATTGCTGGAAGCAGTAATTTACATGTGCTTGGTATAAAATGGTAGAGAAAAATCTGAATACTAGTAAATGTTATTTTTGTTTATAAAAAATCAAGCCTCTTGAGCATCTTTTAAAGTAATTTTAAGTTTTGAAATTTACTGTCTGCTACTGAGAATAAGACTTGTTTTTATATAAGCTGACAAATGACTCTATTAAAGGTTTATAGATGTGGTTTAAAATTATGAAAATTACAGAATGGGGCACTTTGCAAAGATAGATGTGTACACAAATGAAGTTGTCTCAGAGGAATGTGCTGAAGTACCTCATGCAGAGTTAATGTTGGTATTGCTTACTCCTGCATGCTCAGCTGTGCCACCTTAATGGTCTGTTAATGTCACTTAGGTTATGGGATGTATTTTGCATCTCCTGTGAACACTTGTTTGTATTTCATCTCAGTCTGACTAATTTAGTTATCTTGGATTAATCACTGGTTAACCAATTAACTACAGGTTCCCTGGAAATCCAATCTTTTTGTCTGCTTAATTAAGAAGCAGCTGCCTTTGATCTGATACTCACAGCTGTGCTTTTGCTGCTGTGTCACTTGACATTTTTAAATTGGGCTCCACTTGTCACCATTTGTATGCAGTTTGTGGTTAAGGCATATTACAAGAAGTGTGGAAAATAAGGTTTGTTGTTACTTAGACACAGTTTTGTAAATGGAAGCTTTTGATGTCTACAAATGCTGACTCTTAATTACATGTAAAATCACTTCTGAGTAGTAATTGCACTGTTTTGTTTCCAAATCCAACAAAACAGGTTGCTGTCACTTTGAGAGTTTTATATCCATGTGATTTTACTGAAAGTTACTAAAAAGCTTCTTAACTTATTCTATACATAATTCTGTGTCTTTAATGACTCCTGAAATTTTACCTTTGCATTTCAAGTATTATGGTCTACATAACAGAGCTATTCTTGAGCTAAAGAATATTTTAAAAACAAGAATAAAAGCCCTTCCAGCCATTCATTCTGTTTTCTAGCAATCATATGTATGTGAGAAAATTTAGTTAGCATCCAATACTGTCCTGCATCTTCTAATTTCCTCTGAAGTTGGTGAAAATTTGATGACCAAATAGTCCAAGTGCCTTGAAATTTCCCTTGGAAGTCCAGCATTTGAGCAGCCCTAACAATAGAATTTTAGTGATTTGGTGTTTACTGGGTCACCAGAATGCTTGAGAATCAAAAATCTGACTTTCCTGTTAGCACTGTGGTGAAGCAAATTCACCTGCACTGCCCAGAGTTCTGCTAACCCAGAGTGAACATCTCCAGTGCAGGTTTAGGTTGGTTTGATCATCAGTAATGTTCATTGATTAAATACATTACTTTCACACCCTGTTAGTGAGAGCCTCAGCAGCTTATTCACATGGCTCATGCACCACTCTAAATTTGGGCTTTTTTCACGTTTGGGGTGTTTTTATTAAGAAAAATTGTTGAAAATTCTCCAAGCACAATGGCTGATAAGTATTCACTGCTGGGGCGTGTTTGGTGTCGCGAAGTAGAAAAGTTTAATAAAAAAAATAAAAGATAACATTAGTATAATAAATTAAATTGGAGGGAGAAATGAACGTGTAGCTGAGCCTCAGAACTGGATCCCGCTGCCGGAATAATTCTTTATTTGGGTAAATGCCCTGGCAGCGCACGGAGGTTCCGGCTGGAGCCGGGCACTGCCCGCGTCCCGCTCCGTGCGCGCCATCTGCCGGCCACTGCGCGGAACTGCAGCTGCGCTCTGCTCGTTTGTTCCCTTCTGCTTTTGCTTTCTTCTTCTTTTTTTAAACTGATTGATATAATAATATGCTGCCTGTTTGTCCTGCCGCTCCGGGAAACTCCCACTGTGGGCCAGAGGGATGAGTGATGCTGAGAAATGGAGAGGCATTCAGAGGTCATTAGGGAATGTGTGACTGTGCCTAGAAAAGCTTCTCCTAAATTGAGTCCTGAGCTTGGTTACAGCTGTTGCCATCAGAAGGGGAGCACCCTGCCATGGAGATGATGGATTCAAGGCTTCACAGTCCTGGGAACAGGACTGCTACCCAGGTCATCCACAGCTCCAGGGCTGCCCTTGGCATCTGTATGCTGGAACTGTGAAGAATCCTGTCCTTTTGTTTTGGTTGTTGGGATTGCCTGTCCTTAACACCTTCCTAAAAACACATGCAGTTCTTTGGGGCTTTATTGTCTGTATTGAATGCCACTGAAAACTTGTGATTTTTCAACTGTTGTTAACAAATCAGAATTAAAAAGGAAATCTCAAATCTGGTAGTGCACAGCTGCCTGGCTGTTACTGTAGGACACGGAATAACACAACATGCACACACTGCTGTCCTTCAGGTAAAAAAGGGAAAGTTTATTTTCTGACTCTAATTTATAGATTTCCAAAAGTGACAGTGAATTGGAGGGTGAAAGTGCCACCTCTCCAATAACACTAAACAAACCAACATCTATCAAATTTCTCCTCTTCCATAAAAAAATGCAAAACAATAAGTCATTTAGAAAAAGCACATGAAAAAGTTTGTTGCAAGAATGTAAAATCAGAAGGCTTAAAAAATTTTAAAAACTCAAAGCAACACCTGACTGTGTAGAGTTTTTAGGTCACCCATTTTCTCTGTAAAGTTTTGCAGTGCTTTCAGGCATGGACTGATTGACTTGTTCTTGTGCTTCTTCCCAGGGATCTGGTTCGAGTGCAGCAGTCCCAGGCAGCTCTGGAGTCGGAACAACCAGACAGTTTACGCGACAAAGGATAACGCGGGTGAACCTCAGGGACCTCATATTTTGTTTAGAAAATGAGCGAGAGACAAGCCATTCACTATTGCTATACAAAGCATTCCTTAAGTAAAATGGAAAAGATCAAGGTATTTTTGACGGAGAGACGCCTGAGGACATTTTTTAATATATTTGCAAATGACGCCTTTTTGTAACGAGCGAATGGGATATTGTTTAAAAAACAACCACCTCTTTACATGGAACAGTTTTATATTCCTGTTTATAAATAAACTCTTCAGTATAAGAGAAATGCATTTCTGTAACAGTGAGGATACTTACAAGGCCTGTGGATATTATAAAAGGACAATTAAATTTTAACTCATCTCTTGATTGAGTGGCCTTCTTGCCAAACAAGCCATATATAAAGACTGATGGAATCGTTTAGCAAATAACTAGCTACCCTTTGTCAGCCCTGTAGCAGTTTCAACATTAATTGTTCATTTTAGTTCAGTTTTATTCAACTAAATCCATTACATAGGCATATGTCTACAGCAAATGACCTCATTTCATTTAGCTTTTTTTTTTTTTAAAACAGTCAGTTAGCAAAGCAAACTGATTTTTTAAGAATATTTATCTTTCCCCCAAATGCTCAAAATCTAGAGGGATATACAGTTAATTTTAAACATAACCTCAATTTTAATCACATTATTGCTTATTAGAGGCCCTGAAATCCCATAAAGGAGGGTTACTTCTGAATGTTTTAGCAGCATCTGTAAAAATGCATTTTATTTGCTATAGTTTGTAAAGCTGTAAAGTTAAAAAAGGAAAAAAAGGAAAAAAAGAGAAACCTTTTCAGCATAAATATATTTTACTTGCACTGTGTTTTTTAGCTAAAGTGAAAGCTTAGATTAAATAAAATCAAAAGTTGAGAGGAATCATCGAAAGACTTTCTCAGTGTGAATCAAGTGTTGAAAAATGGTTGGTGTATTTTGTCAGTAATTGTACATAATTTTTGGCACATAACATAAAAATGGCTATGTAAACTATAATTATTTTGCTAAAAGACTGTATGCAAGCTGTGGGCCTACTTTAAAGATGTCCAGAGCAAAGTCCCTTCTTTGTACCTATTTTTTTATTACAAATATACTAATTGGTTCTTTATATTTTCAGAGGTTATTGTATTAAATTGTCTATTGATAGTACTTTTATGACTGTAAATACTTTGGCTTTCTTTGTGTGAACTCTCATGGTAGAATTTAACTCTCTTGCGTGTAAACTGAATGCTGATCAGTATTTTTATCAACACCTGACAACTGTTACACCCCTTTTATTTTGTCTCTTAGGAAATCCTGTCTTTCCATTTTTTTTTCATGTAAATTTTGCACAGTTACTTGTTCATATGTAAATATTTTACTTTCAAAAATGAAGTTTTTAATTGCTATTGTTTTATATAGGATTGAAAGAAAATTAACTCCTTTATTAAAAACAAATTTATCTGTATTTGCTAATGTATTTTTCTCTCTAAATCTTTTCTCCACTTGGATTTATTTTTCTTGGTGCAGTAAAAAATGAGTCTATTTGAGGGGATGCTGTTTGCTAAAGGTGCACTTTGGGATGTTTTTATACTGTTTAGTTTTATCAGTATTTTGGATGTGTGTGATTTCATGAATTTTGGCATTTGATTGTTGTCTTAGGGGTCTTGGGGTAGCATCAGTGGGCAGTGGGTCTGGTCTGGTTGGTTTTAAAGCAGGGAAAAGTGTCTGAAACATCTGAAATATTTTGTGTTTGTCTAGTGAAGATTTAATGAAACAGCCTCTCCTTGAGGGCAGCCTGCTCCCTCAAACACAGCTAAAGAGGTTTGCAGCAGAAGCTAGGACATAAAACACAGTTTGGAGCACAATTGCGAAAGAAAATTACCAGGGACACTTCTGATTATCAACATGAAAATACGAGAAGCATCTCTGATGTTCTGTACTTGGGTTGTATTTTTTTTTTAATTTCTCTTCTCATGGACCAATTAACCTAATAATTTTGAGGGCCTAATCCTGCCAGTACATTAATTTGATGATTATTCCTTGCACGCAGACAAATCTGTCCAGAGGCTGCTGCCCCAAGCCTGCTGTGAACGGGCGCTGGCTGCAGGCCCATGGGAGATGAGTGTGTGTGAAACAGGATCAGCTCCTCCAGGGATGTGCTCACTGACACTGTGTGACACTGACCCCAGGCTCTCATTGTTTGTAAACTCCAAACAGCCTTTAAATTGTGTCATTGTGCTAAGTGGAAAGAAACACCTTTGACTTTTGGCCAAAACACTGTCAGAGCATCCCCTGAATTGTAGCAGGAGCTGGTTTAATTGTTAATCACCACTGGCCAGGCACTGCAAAGCTGTGGCAGGTAAGTGGGGAAGAAACTGAAAAATTAAAGTTATTCCATGGTGTGCTTTCTTTGCTCTCCCTGCTTGGTAGCTTAGAAATATTCTAGAGAGGCCAAGGGAGGAGGGAGGGATCTGTAAGAGGAGAGCTCTTGGTTCTGTTTTAAATAACATTGGTTTTAAGTGCACAGGCAGCTCTTCACTCCATATAATTTTTTCTCAGTTGAAAGATAAATGTTCCTGTTGTTAGTCAGAAAAACTGGCAACATCCATCTCCCTCCAGCAGTTCAAATTCATGGAGTTTTGGACTGGGGAATTGGCCAATTATTGTCAGTACACTGGCACTGTGAGGAGTTCTCACAGCAGTTGAAGGCTTTTGTTCATTTGCTGTTGATTTAGTTTTTTATGATAAAACCAGTACCTGTTCTTGAAGCTGCTCAGAAATTTGACATTTCAAAGTCACAGCTGGGGAGGGGTGGCATTCACAGGGCAATACCTGTGCACAACACACTCCTCTTGTGTGTTAGTGACCTGTAGAGAGAGAAATTTGGATTCTTTCCTGGCCCCAAAGCTTGTGCAGCTCCACCAGAGAATTCACAGCCCCTTGCTTGGATCTCTGTACCAAGACTGAGGCACCTTTGTTGTAAGCACCCCCAAAACTGCAGTTTGCCAGCTGGGATGTTCTGTGTGTGAATCATTGAGGGTTTATTGCTCCTTTATTTTAGCACACTCTTTCAGCTGGGTGTCAGGGACAGGTTCCTTCTCTCTTGTAAGTCTGTGACTTGTAATGGGCTTTCTACCCTGTTTTACAGAAGTCTTGATGTCTCTCTATTTTTTTAAACACCTCTGATTGGGTAGTGCATAGCTCTAATGTTGCTTTAACTGTTGATATCATTGTTTTCCCAGGAGAAAAATTGATCAGAACAAGTAGGATAGAATAAAGCACTCCGAATTCAGCCTGCTCTTATTTCACAGGTTTATAATTAAACAGATATGTTTTCAGGAAACCTTTTAATATATAGTGAGAGATGCATGCATGATAAATAACACCAATTTCACAGTAATTAAGATTTTATTGGAGGTTTCCCTGTGATCCAAGAAGTTTCCCCACATTTCTGAGATTGTCTAAATTACAAACTTAAAAGAACTCCAATGACAATTTTAACCCTTTTCTTAGGTTTATAGCTGTTTGTCCATCTGCAGAGAAGAGTGTTGACCATTGGGGTAAGTGAGGGAGGGTGGTGGCACCTCCAGGAGTGACATTTCCCTGCAGTGTGGGAGTGTGGATCCACCTGCCCAGGTGAGTGTGCAGGGTGGGAGGGTCTCTTCTCCAAAATCTTCAGTGCTTGTGCCAGGATTTTTGCACAGCAGGGCTTTAGGTAAGGAGCTGATGTGTTAGAATGTGGTGTAAAGTGCTAGGAGAGAAAGGTTTAGGCAGTGTGGGTTGATCCCAATCTTTAGATTTTTGGGAATGCCATATGAGCAGTCCCCATGGAAAGGATTGCTCCTCAGTATTTGGGGAGGTTTTTAGCAAGTGACATTTCCCTGTCTATGGAAGTTGCCAGGCTGATGAATTTGGGAAATGTTTCTTGGAAGGATGAATAGGGAGGGCAGCACCTTCAGGGCAGCTCTGCCATGCCTGACCTGACTTTTATTTGCCCACCACAAAAGCTTCCCCCAGTTAGGATATCCCACAGGATGACAAGTAGAGGTATTAAAACTGCATTTTAATAGCCCAGATCTGTCCCTCCCCTGCAAATCTGTGGCCAAACCCTGCACTCTCCCCTCTCCCATTGGAGTCCAGGGAATGGTTGTGACAGAGCCCAGTGGGGGCAAGCCAGAGCTCCTTCATTTTGTGTTGTTATTAGATGTCATAGAGCTGTGAGAGAAAGGGAATACATTCCTTAAAACTTGCTTTTAGGAATTCAGTCGTGTTTCCCTGTGCCAGCTGAGGGAAACTTGCCCAGTGCTGCTGCAGATGTGGGAAGGTGAGGGGAGCTGTGGGCACGTTGTGGGGAGGCCTTGTAGCCACTGCCTGATCTTACTTTGTTCTGCCCCTTCAGAAATAACTTTCCTGTGAAACAGTTTATCTTCCCTTTGTTTTCCTGCTCAGCTTATTTACTGTTATTCTCTGGAAGCAGCTGGGTTGCACCCTGTCTGGTTTCCTCCTGGGAGTCTCCTTGTTCTGAAGTCAGCAGAGGACTTGTACGAACAGCACAAGCAGCGTTTGGGCTGTGATATGGTACCACACTGCTGTGAAAGTGCTGCATAAATGCATAACAAATCTGGCTTTTACTGCTCTGTAAAAGTACTGCATGCTTTAACTTAAGCACTTATGTACTTTTGCAATCCAATAACAAAATCAAGTTGCCAAAAAAAAAAAAAAAAGTTGTGAGTGCTTTCTAGTTTGCTGTGATACATTTGGTGCTCTAATTTTGAGAGAACACGTTGGAGAGTTGCCCAATTATGGCAGATTGGAATATGAAGAACAATATATCTATTTTCCCAGGAGAGCAACGTGCTGATGTTTAGGCACAGCCTCTCTCAGTGAAAATGAAAATCCTCGTGTCATGTTGAGTGTGTCACTGTTCAGATCCTTTGCTCCACTTTAAGAGTGACAAGAGTAAAATCTGGCTAAATTGTAAGGTAAGACCCTTCACCTTCAGGTGGAATTGGTGGGATTGATAATTTTTATTTGAGTAATAACAGTTAAGTTCCTTTAAAAAAATAATATTCTCACTTTCCACACTGATGCACAGGAGTGGTGTGTGATTTGAAGTTGTGGGCTTCCTTCCTATTGGGTTTTTTGTTTGTCCTTTCAATCCTATTTGTGTGGGGTGAATTCCTACTTTTACTACTTACTCCTACTTGAGTGGTGAGAATAGATTTTGTGTGTATTTGCTTGTTCTTGACACAGATATTTCAAGGTCTCCATTTAGAGCACAGCTCTAAAGCAGCTGTGCTGGTGGAGCTGAGTGTGCCAGTGGAGATGGGCACCATTCCCATCCAGCCCTCTCCTCCCCAAACCACGGGAGGCCTGTCCCTCCTGTCCCTCCTGTCCCTCCTGTCCCCGCAGCCTAATCCCAGAAAACCCCCAAAACTCAGTTCCCTGATGGAAAAATGCCCAGGAGCTCATGTGGGCAGGGTGAGGGCAGGAGCTGATGGCTGGGAAGGGGAAAATGGGAGACCTGGACAGCCAAGGTGTGAGGCAGCG